ATTTACAGATATTTTAAGTGTACTCATTAAAATTTTTAAAGAAGAAACATTAAATATATTTCTAGTTAGACGTGATCTCCGATGGCGCTACACAGCGGTTATCCACTGCTGCAGTAATTCCAACATTTACCTTGGATGAAACCTGAAAACAATTCCCTACTTGCAGATATTATCCTACGGTCGAAAAAAAAATAAAAATGGTGGTGGTTTTTTTAGTTTAATTTTACCCAAAATTTTCGTTATTTTTGGTTATTKTTACATATACATATGCATGCACAGAACAGAAAGTTTTAAACTAAGCGATTTTCGGAGCTCCCACTCGATTTCGAAAATAATTTTCCCCTAACTTATTATTTTTTTTTACATTTAACAAATTTCCTCTCATTCGTAGAGTATTTCCTACAGAGCTGCAAGCACAAATAAGTACTTTATATGTATAAACATTTTGATTTCGAAAACCTATGTAAATGCGATATGAATTTAACATTTTTGAAGGGCGAACTATTTTATGAGTAATAAAAAAAATCATTSACTATATGCAGCAAGTTCTATTAACAGAAACAAATTTCCCCTTTCATGATATTCTTATCTAACAATATGCACACATGTATGAAATACATACATACATATGTATAATACGTGCTTGTGTGTTCGTATATGGCTTGCACTCCTTTTTATTACTTGGTATGTCTTTTATTTCTACTTCCTCGTTTCCGGTTCGCTATCGTTGGCAGTGATTAAATTTCAGACGGCTGGCATATGGACGYACAGTGATATGAATATGTAGGAATGTGTTCACAACTGCACTTTTAGATACTTAACTTTTATAATCAAGCACTTACAAACATATGYATGTGCTTAACATTCCTCAACAAATAAAACTGCTCGCATATACAAATTTACTTATGTAAATGTGTATAAGTATATGTTCATATGTATGTTCACAAATCCATTTGTAAATACTAGTCAAGAGCGGTATCTTATCAGTCTTTCGCTATTCCTTTCTGTTTTTGTTTGCCATAATATCATACAACTACAAATTGTCAAGCATATGAGTGCAAAAAGAGCAATACTATATTTTTTACGCCTGCACACATACTCATTTTAGTCAAACAATTCATTCCTTTCCACATGCGAATTCAAGCCTTTTAGAAGCCACAACGTTTATTTGCTTGGAATTGTAGGCAAATTAATTAGCCATACTTATATGCGCGCCATACGTGCTTCAATATATGTAAATATGTMTGCATTTGTGTGTAAGCACCTTTGCCGCCTGTCAATGCAACAGTGGATGCCTTGCATGAGATACTCGACTTCATGCCATATTCACCCAGTCAAAGACCAAAAATTTTAAATGCGAAACTGAGTAAAAACAAATTAAAATGTTTGATGTCTATTTTTGGCGATAATGAAGGGCGGACGCGGCAATTAAAAAAAAAAACTTGCTGCTGCCGGTGTCATTTTTGCATCGGTGCACGCTGCCATTGCTAACGTCATATACACAGGGTGACCCGGATAGRAAAGTTTAAGACAAAAATTGTGTGAACAAAGCAGTGGGTTTGCATTGAGATTGGATTAGCGTTTTTTCTKGAATTTTTGAATTTCTCAGCTGAATAAGAGGTTTTTCGGATCATTAAATAGAGTACATTGTTAATGTAAGTATACAGCTAGCTATATAAAAGACGCCTCATACGCAATATTTATTGACTCAATGATTCAATAAACAAATGCATTTCGTACTTAATCATGAACATCATTGCATACTTTTAGGCAGCACTTGATTTATTTACATCCCATATTCAGTGAATGTGAATGTGTGAAACAAAATTTCAATTGTGTTAAACWTAGACTTCAATATCTCGAAAATAAATCATATAAAAACATGAAATAATAATAAATAATTTTTCTATCTAATACTAATTTCTATTAATTAGCATGCTTATACCATTATCTGAAAATTTTAAATTCATTCTTTCCTCACTTTTTGCATTATGAATCACCTTTTAGTGCGAAGGTTTACGTCTGTGCTATTACATACTTTTTGACAGTTGTTTTAGTAAAACGTCAAATTCAAATGTCAACTAGGTGCAATATAATAAGGAAAATAAAAACAATATTAACCGCGACTGCGCCGATAACCGCGAAATTCAAGCGATTTAGGGAGCATAAATCTAAACTTTATAGAAAGGAATGTGGTGCTAACTGAGGAAGGATAATGTGAAAGGCGAAATATTCGCAAAGTAGTTTAGTGCGCAAGGATGTAGAGAAAATGGCATAGACATACAATTCACTGTGGTGTCATATTTGGTCAAGTGCAGTTTTCAGTGGATTCTCATTGTGTACAAATGGTGCGGATGAATGAATAGCGTTGGAATTTGGTGAAAAATATAGTTGTTATCCTTTGGAAGGAGTAGCTCATAAAGGATACATCTGTATTATATACATCTCATATTATATGTAGGAAAAAAGTTTTATATAATGCAAACGCTGGAAATCCGCCTAAATAAGTAAAAAAAAACACGAAGTAGTGTTATGTACATACATATATCGTTCATATATATATGTATATATAAGTGTCTCTTGTGTATAAAATAACTTACTTTTTGCGGTTTGCTTAAACAAGCGAGTGCGTCTCCTAAGGGACTGAAAGGAAAACTTTTATATTGCAAATGTGTATGTGCATGTGAAATCCAAGTGACACCCATTGCTATAGAAGCGAATTTCATGAAAAATCGATATTTGCCAAAAAGGAAACGGTCAGCCGCGTTTTAGGTAAATTGGGTATATGTACGCCTCTATTTGGTGTAGTTGCAAAAACAAAAGCGTTGTCAATACAAATTTAACAGAAATAATTACTTAAACAGTAAATAACAAATATAGGTAAACTAAAATCGCTGGAATCAAAACTAACAAGCAAATGTTGATATTTATATCATTTATATGTATGCCACTTGTGTTGTTGTCGTTTGTCCTAAATTCCATTAGTCGCGTGCTCAATTATATATTTTAGACAATAACTTATATGCTGTTGTGAATATGCACATATTTAAGAATACATATGKATGTATGTATTAATCCATTATCCTCACTGCCATCAACGTAGAAGTTACCACGTACCACCAGATTCCTCGTTCTGTAAATTCATTGTCTACTTAAACTGCCTATTTCTGTGTATGCAAATTTTTTACATTACACATTACTACAGATGAGTCATGTGCGTCCAAAACTATTTAAATATTTTAAAGAACTTTAAAATAACAGTGTTTTGTGCGAATCGTAAATCAAACGCTATTTAGTGCCCTAATTGGAAAATAAATGTGAATGTGTGTTGGCGAGATTTAAAGTCCTTTCGGTTATTATTACAATTATAATTATAGACTTGATACTACGTGTGAAAACAAAATGAAGACGCGTCTTGTTTCGTTAACATACCGCGGCAGCGCCTCTGTGGATCCGCGCTACTCCGCCGCAATGTTGCCATGGACCATAAATGATATTCGCTCCACTGAAAGCTACTCGAAGGTAATTAGTATTTTTTATTGCTTTATGAATAAAAAAAAGTTTGCAACATAGTATACAAAGACCAAGTAATTTTTTAAAGCAAAAAAAAAAAATAATAATAATAATAATAGATTTAAATCGATTAGAAAGGAAAATAGAATAATAGGTTGTCAAAAAAGTCTTGCGGTATTTTTATTGAATTTTCAATTGTTCATAAAATTTTTTTTTCGATGACTCATGCCCGGCTCTTGATCGATGCTACGACTGCTACTATGCCGGTCTCGGAAACTGTATTGGGGCCATAAACTGCACATATTTTATTGGCGGCTTGAAATGCATTTTTGCCTTTATCGTAGTAGTACTGTAAAATATGCCGAATTTTCTCTTTATTTTGCTCCATGTTTGCGACACTATGGCTCACGAACTACTTAAAAGAATTGACAATCAATCAAACACGTGTTAGCACGTGAAATGAGCTTTCCAAAAAAGGTACATATGTATATAGAACTACGCGCTCTCAGCGCCAACTAGCGAAAATACCGCAAAACTTTTTTGACAACCTAATATCAAAAGTTACATTCAAAACGATTTACACGCAATGTACGTTCGGTAAGAGAAAAGAAGGAAACGTAATGTTGGGGAATGTTGCAAGTGATTATAATACTAACAAAAATATACATATGTTACTTCAAAAAAATTTCCATTYAAGGATATACTATATCAGAGATTACAATTCTAACCGTTTATGTAAATTCTATCACAGTTCTTGTCTCCTCATTAGCATCATTATAAATATGTACATACATTATTTATGTATATATACCTGCAGTGTCAACTAGGCAATCTTGCGCGTTAATTAAGCGCCACAAAAAAAGCACCCATCAACCACAAAGTCGCCAGTCGCCGGGTGCTACATTTTCTGTCTCCAGCACTCCGAGTTGACCATAAAATGATTAGTTAAGTTGAATGCTTCACAACACCAGCACCACGAACAACAACGTCTAATACTGGCATTGACACCATATACATGGCCTTTTATGACAACCTGCTCATTGATCGTCGGAGCCGGTATAAGCGTTCTATATATAAATTAAGTGTTGTGGAATAAATGAATAAATACACGCGCCACAGGATATAATCACTAAGAACCAATTCAATTTACGCTGTTGAGAAAATCTGTAGTCATTAGTGTGCGACAAAGCAATAACAAAAACAAACATAAATACTTTAGATGTTATTGTTGTAGCTATTATTTCCATTTATGTATTTCTGCTTTGTCTTTCAATGAAAGGGAGTAGTAGTAATTGAATGTGTCGGGGGCTTAACAGTTAGACGGGGGTGTAGTGCAGGCTTAAGCCAAAGCGGATGTGTAGAATATGTGTTGTAGGGAAACCTTAGAAGTGTTATAACTACAATAAAGCGCATTAGAAGTGGCAGTTTGTTGTGAAAGGAACCAAAGCTAAGAGTAACATGTTTAGCTTTGTGCATTAAAATTTACAAATATATTTGTACATATTCATATACACGTCGCAGATCCTAGCAAATATTTATATAAATGATCGGCTTAACGAGCTGAGTCGTTTCGATCAAATCTATCTGGATAGACAGTCTGTATGCCATTAGTCTCTCAGTTTCTCAGATATAGGTCTGAAATTTAGCACAGGTCCTTTTCTCACCAAGAACCTGCTCATTTGTCGGAATCTTCGTTATTGGAACACTATAGCATATAGCTGCCATACAAACTGAATAATCAGAATTAAGTTCTTGTAAGAAAAATATCTTATTTTGAAAGATATGTTGACAAAATTTAGTATGGATTATTGTTCACAGCAAAGGTACAATATTTTTGTAAACCTTATCAGATCAAACTACTATGACATATAGCTGCCATATAAACTTTTTGTTTTTGTAAATATTCGCATATATCTACATATATCGTTTATGATTGATATTCGTTACAATTCAGGAGCTCATACTGCATTAATCATAGTATTTAACCATACTAATGAAAGTTTATCCATACTAATGAAAATCGTTAAATATATAATTTGCTGTCTATATATTATTTGTGTGGGCAACTCCCATCTCACTTTCCTTAATAATTATCCTTATATTCATATTTGAATATATCTAGAAAAATAATTTTACATATAATCAATTTATCTACATATATAATTTGGTAGGCTGCAAACTACTCTATTCACGCACACAGTTTTACTACTTAAATATAACATAAAGGAAGGAACTCGCTCCATAAATTTGTATAAGCAATCTAAAAATAAAGCACTCACAAAGTTTGCCCAATTTACTACACTCTTCAACCAATACAGTAGGTATTTGGGTATACCAGTATACATATGTACATATGCATGTATACACAAATATTATATRTAYATACATACATATWTGYATATRTAGATATGTACATGCGGAATTGCGGCTTCTTTTGACTGCCTAATTATTATGTTATTTTATGCTTTTGACCACAACTTTTTGCCAGCAGATATACTTACATACATAACCACACATAAAACCACATTTTTACGAAAATAAATTGTTATATAAGGATGTACATTAAAGTACTCTACTTATATGTGAAAAATTTCTTCTCTGTCAAGACAAAATTATCGATCCTTTCTAGCGAGGCAAGTTGACGTCACTACATTAAGTCCAATTGTGTCTTCCTTTCACACAAAACTTTCACGCCTGCCAATGTTCACAATTTTCTTTAATGAGACTTGTCATACTCCAGTGGCACTCATAATATTATATTGACATAATCCGATTGTCCTCGGCAAGAACATAAAAAAACGTCGTCGCCAAGTGCCTATCAAATATGCCAYCGGTGGAAATTCATACATTAGCGCCGAAATTGAACATAAAATTTGCATAAAACAAGTCGGAAGGTGTTGTTGCTGGGTGGGTCATAAAAGAGCAGTTGTAAATTGCCAAGCATAAAAAGGCGTGGTAAACTGGTATATAACGGTACAAAACGTCACTGCTGTCGAGTGACAAGAAAATTAGTTTATGAAATGTCAATAAAAAATATATTTTTCATTGCTGTTCTGAATAAATTATTTAATATACACCGTCTACAAAAAGAGAGGACGTGCCATGCTATGTTTGCTTATGTATTTGTGTTAAATTTTTTCAGTGTATTCAGCCTTTTCATCATGTCACGCTTCACTTCGGTACAACGCTTGAGAAGTGTCCAAGATTATTACGCAAATTCACGTTCMACGAAAAATCAYCTTCTCAAATGAGGCCCATTTCTGGCTTAATGGTTTCGTTAACGAACAAATTTGTATGTCAAATTCTCGTGTGGTTCAGGAAACACAACTTCTTCCCTAAAAATGTATCTTCCTCTCCGAAATAACAGCTCTTGACCGGATAAAATCCGTGTCAATTCCGGTGTGTAGAACCGGCTGTTGTGGGAATTGAAAATTTCCCGTTTCTTGTTGGTATGGCGCCAACATCGGTCCATATTTCATTTCGAAATGCCGTTATCATCTATAGCGAGCCGTTATTTACTTTATCGGAATTTGATAAAATCGACGTCGACGATATCTATTTMCAACAAGACGGTGTTGAAAAGGAGTTGAAAGCAACCCAAGATATGATGTTAGGTTAACAAAAAAGAAAGCTATAAAATGAGTCAGTGTAGAATTACCACAAAAGCTGTCATTTACAAAAAAAAAACAAAAACACAAGGAAAAGAGAAAATACGAACTAGGAGCAAAAAAAAAAAAAAAATTATAATAATGGCCGCACAGAAAACGATGTCTTCGTACTGAAATTGAAGTGGAGACTCTTCRCAGGCGTTTTTTCGTGGCGCATTTTTTGTCAGCATCGAAGGTGGCAGCCAYTCGCCATGTTTATGCTAATGTGCGTACAAATCTACATAAGGACTTATTGAGATATAAAAATAATACCAACAAAACTTTTTATGACACATTTGCAAACGAAGTGTATGATGCACAAAGAGATGTAAATGGCTTGCAAAAACTTTTTTGATCCATTGCGAAATTCGAAGGACTATATTAAAATATTAATTTATTTGTGGCGTTTTATGAGTGAATACTTTTTTGAAAAAATTTGTGTTTATTCTAACAAAAAGAACTATAAAAACTTTTTGTGACTTTTGTATATAAATATGTATGTATATAGTTTTTACACTATTTACTCAGCAATATTTTACTAACACTTTCATATATTTCGCTATTTTACTATTGACTTAGCATACTTTAAGGCGCGCAACAACTTTTTTTTTGACCTGTGACGCTTCAACACATTTACTATGCATGACACTCAAACTTTACGTAAAAGTTTCGTATTGCAGTTGGCGCTTACCAAAGTGCCATTGACTTTATACTGTAGACTGGCCCTTAGGTGTCCTTATGTGCCGCTTAAAGTTACGCAAAAACAATTTCCACTTTTTATGAACTCGCAAGTGTTGTATGCTAGCGCTGAGCCCATATCGTTGCAWGTTTTTAGCTTGTCGGCGTTATATTGTATTTATTTGCGTTTTTGGCTGAATAAAAATAAAAGGCTGTGTGGTCTCTTTTTTGCTGTCATTTCAATGTCGTTTGGGGAGCTTAAATGAAGTAGAATTAGAAAAAATTTCCTATAACCATACATTTATGTAAACAGTGATTTGGTCTTTTCGATGGCGTAGTATATACACCCTCAAATTTATGTAATTATGGCAATCTCTTTCAACAACTTGTTATATACCATTATGGGCAAAAAATAGTAAGACTTTGTTGACTATTTTAATATTCTTAATTTAGTCAGTTCCCACCTCTTTTTACGAATAGCTTCGCGAAAACGACGCATAAAACTCAAATAGTATTCCTTGTTGGCAGTTTGGCCGGTCGGAATGTATTCGGAGTGCACCACAACTCAATAATCAAAGAAAACTATCAACATAATCTTGATTTTTGATCTACTTTGACGTGGCTTTTTGGCTGCGACTCACCTTTGCCACGATATTTGGCGGGTTTATCGTCTGTTTCCGTGTC